CGTGATGTGCTTGTGTGTGCAGCTGGCCGGTGAAAGAGAACATCGAACGCATCATTCAATCTGTCCAGTACGGCGCCACTACGTGAGTTGGATGTTGTCGCATGGGATATGATGGACTGTGCGTTGGTGGGTTGTCTGGTTGTGGCTGTTTAGCATTTGATGGTGCTGCAAGCAATGGTGTCATGTCAGCAGCAATCTTGCCTGTGCTCCTCCCCCCCCCCATCCCATCCTCTTGACGTGTGCTCTTGCATGTCAGGGTGAAGCTGGACCCTGAACAACACCTCCCATATGTCACTGGTGGCCTCGGTACATTGCCTTCAGGGTTTGAGGTTGGTACACGTAGGTGCGTGTGGGTTGTGGTGTTTGGTACTGGCACCGAGCTGGTTTGACGACTCGATGACCACCACTCTACAACCCCCCCCGCACACACACACACATGCACACGCACATGGCGTTTGCGCAGACGTTGGATGCAAGTCGGCCCTGGCTCGTGTACTGGAGCCTGAATGCGCTGGTGATTCTCGGTGGCACAATCTCGCCAGAGCTGAAAAGAAGGTATTTTCCGTTGACACACCTGATCTGGTACAATACAGGCCATGCGCCATAGCGCCTGCGCTCACGATGTTGAAGGGTCCCTTGCTTTGTCTGTTTTTTGTTTGTTTTTGTTTTTCTGGGAAACCACGCGTCTCAAATTCACACCCGCGCGTGTGTGCTGCACCACTCACACCTGCACCCGACATCACCCCGCCTGCTCAGGGTAATCAACACGCTTCGCATGTGTCAGGCAGAAACAGGTGCGTGCGTGTCGAGTTGTCTCGCTTATGTCCCCATCGCCACTAATGTTGCAGCCGTGCTACCGCACACCCCGCCACCAACACCGCTCAACAACAGCGCCCTCCTCCCTTCCCCTCCCACCTATTACCTCGCTCTTGCTCCACATCAGGCGGGTTTGGCGGTGGTGTTGGTCAGGTCGCACACGCCGCGCCAACATACGCCGCCGTCAACGCCCTCGCCATTATCGGCACAGAAGAGGCATGGAGCATCATCAACAGGTGTGTGCTTTGGGGAGAGCGGCTTGTATGTGTGTATGTGTGTGTGTTATGTGTGTGTTGTATGTGTGTGTGTTATATACGCACACGTCCGCGTACCCGCCAACCTTGTGTCTCTAACGCACTCACATACGCGTGTCATACGTGTCCATCTGCAGGGAGAAGCTTGCGTCATGGCTCTCGTCGCTGATTGAGGATGACGGCTCAATGCACATGCACGACGATGGCGAGATTGATGTCAGGTACAGCCCGTACGCTTGTGTGTGTGTGTGTGTGTGTGTGTGTGTGTGTGCGTGTGTGTGTGTGTGTGTGTGGGTGTGTGTGTGTGTGTGCGTGTGTGTGTTTTAGTCTTGTCTCTGTTCCATCTGTTTTATGCACGTGTGTGCTTCCCCCTCATGGTGCACTTGTCATGGCGCACTTGTCTCTCCATGTGACATGACCCAAGACGCACGCTCACACACTCACACACACTCACACACACTCACACACACCCACTCACAACACACACACACACAACACAAACCACCACCACCACAAACCACCACGTGGTCCTTGGCTTGCCTTGGCTTGCGCTAGGGCGGTGTATTGCGGCGCATCTGCTGCCCGTCTGTGCGGTCTCGACGTCGACACCATCTTCGCAAAGTGCCCGCAGTGGGTGGCAAGGTGCGGTGACTGACTTGGGTAGCGTGTCGCTGCCCTTGTTTGGGGTTGGTGTTGGTGCTGGTCGAGACACTTGTTGGTGCTTGACTCGAACAGCTTTGTGAAACTTCAGCACATCACACCACACGTCACACCTCACACCTTACACCTCACACACACACACATCCATCCACTCCACACTCGTCCACTGCAGGTGCCAGACATATGAGGGCGGGTTTGCTGCCATTCCGGGCCTGGAGGCACACGGCGGGTACACGTTTTGTGGTTTTGCAGCCATGTCCATCCTCTGCAGCACACACCTCATCGACATCCCCCGCCTCACAGTCAGTGCATACGCATGTGTGCGTGTGTGTGTGTGTGCGTCTGTGTGTGTGTCTGTGTCTGGAGCACATGACCTTCTCTTGCCCTATCGCTCTCTTTTCCCTCCACTCACGTGCCACACGTCCTCCTTTCGCCACCACCAACAACTGCACCGCTGCAGGAGTGGCTGGCGAACCGGCAGATGCCCATGTCGGGCGGATTCCAGGGACGACCCAACAAACTCGTCGACGGCTGCTACTCGTTCTGGGTTGGCGGATGCTTTCCCATCCTCGCTGACCTCCTTGAAGGTTTGTGTGTGTGTGCGCGTGTGTGCCTCTGTGTGCATGTATGTATGTATGCATGCATGTATGTTTGTTTGTATGTATGTATATATATATATATGTATGTCTCTATGTATGCATGTATGTATGTATGTATGTATGTATCTGTGTCTCTGTTTCTCTGTGTCTCTGTGTCTGTGTTTGGGTGCCTGTTTGTTTTTGTCTGCTTGGTTTGTGCTGGTCACCTTTCACTTCACGTCACGGATACCACACTCACGCGTACACACATGTGCACCCCGCCACCTTGCCGCAGCCCAAGGACTGCCGGGTGATGTTGTGAACGCAGAAGCGTTGATTGACTATGTCGTGTGCGTGTGCCAGTGCCCAAGCGGCTTCAGGGACAAGCCTGGAAAGTGCGTGTACAACCCATACACGCACATGTCCACACACCATGCACGTGCATGCTCACACATTATACTTGCGCGCGCCCACAGCCCATTAACACGAGCGCCTCCTCTTGACGACGGCCTGCTTCTTGCGCCACACCACACAATGCGCTTGTCCTTCGCCCGCTCACCATCTCACTAATCACCACCAACGCCCCTTTTCAGGCGGCAAGACTACTACCACACGAGCTACTGCCTGAGCGGCCTGGCGTCCATGAAGCGGTTTGCACCCAACGTGAGTCACATCGCTCGCTTCCATTGTGGGTGTGCCTGTTTCGCGTATGCTGTGTTTGGGTGACATTAAGGCCCCCAATGCACAGTCGCGCACCTGCACCCATTGCCCACAACCTCGTTCACTCACTGGTTTCCGCTGCTCTGTTGGTGACAGCATCCAATCCTTTCACAGCTGAACGCAACACACCCCATCCACAACGTCCCACCAGCGAACGTGAGCTTATCGTGCTGATGGCTTGCTGTAAAACATACACACACCTGCACATACCTGCACTCACTTGCACTCACGCACGCACTCACTCACCTGCACTCACTTGCACTCACACACGCACACACACACGCACACACACACGCGCACACCTGCACTCACCCACTAACGCATGCACACCTTTCGTGCGCAGGCTGAACGCATGATCCAGGCCATGTCCAGCCAGACCACCACAAGGCACTGAAACCCCTACCCCCCCCCCACCCCACACACACACATTCCCTCCCCATAACTGTATCCACCTCCATTGAAAACCACACACCCTTTCACCACAACAAATAATACAATTTCAAAGTTGCATCATCTTCACGCACATTCTCCCCTCGATGTAAACCCCTGTATGAAAATTTGCCGCACACCACCCCCGCGTGTGCACGTGCAGCTGGTTACGATGCCACCACCACCACCACCACCTGTGTTGGAGACCTGGGCACCGCTCGCTTGGGAGAGTTCCGCAATTGTCCTTTGGGTTCAGCTGGAAGAAGGCCTGCGCAGGTCCAATGACAACAGTGCCATGCAGGTGGAAGAGCATGGTGATGTGGGAGTTGTGCACAGCCCCTTCCCTTGCTTACCTGCAATCATTGACTTTGTCTTCCACTCGAACGCTGTCGAGGGCGTCCCCGTGGACCTGGACACCACGCAGCGACTGATAAAAGAGCATGTACAAAGCACAAATCATGGTCCGCAAGTCGACGAGCACAACGTGCCCACTCTCGGCGCTGATGCCCTTGCTGGCGATGATGATGACGATGATGATGATGATGACGACGACGACGTTCATGTTGTTGCCGACATTGGTGATGAAAAGGGCGGCACGGACACACATCTCGGTACACGAACAACACACGCACTTGACAAGACCACAACTTCAGCACCCAAGATGACAACCAAGAACGACAGCGCTCGCCGCTTTGTTCTTCAGCATCTAACTTCGATGGTGTGGATCCAACAACAGCCACTGCACGAGCTCTCGACAGAAACCATCCGCCACTTGCATCTCATCCTCATGGAGGGTCTGGAGGGTGCGGAGGACGGTGTTGACATGCAGCCAGGCGTGTACCGCACAACCCCATGCGGAGCGCACGGCGTGGGTGGCCGGCCAGTGCAGTATGCGGACCATACCACCATTCCCCGCCGCATGGAGCAGCTCGTCACCAGCACATGCGAACAACTGCAAGCACTTCATCCTCGCGAGCTCACTCCGGACGTCTTCTACGTTGCTGGCAAGTTTCTTGTCGAGTTTCTAGCCATCCACCCTTTTGGCGATGGCAATGGGCGCTTGGCCCGGCTGCTTGTGCATTGGATCCTGTACAAGCACGGCTTCTTGCTGCCACTCTCCTTGGTCAAAGGCAAGCACAAGCGGGCGCGCCGACACTACTTGCAAGTTCTCGATCGCACGCAGCACCGTAACACAGACGTCTCCCTGGCTGCAACCTACATCCTCAGCCACGCCGTGCATGCACTCGACGAGTACCGGTAGTAGTAGTATGCCACGAGACGAACAACAGCACTTGCTTTGGTTTGGTGGTTTCACAGCATAACGCTATAACGGCCACTCGCTTACAATTACAATACTTGAACAATGGAGAAACTGGCACCCCATACGAGACCCTCACAGCCTCATGTACATACATATAGTCGACGTGCTTGCTTCTTCCAACTTTCTGAACCCGCTTTCTCGATCATCTAGCACTTCCCAATCCACTTGCGCCTTCCCTACCCAACCGCACGACCCCCCCCCCCCTGTTTCTGTTTCAACCCCATCTCCGAAGCCAATACACTGCCGCCACACAATTGGTATTCTCGCATTCTAATCATCTTTGTCCTCGGTTGTATGAACAGCCAACGAAAACATCAATTGACAGTCGCAGACCTTAACCTACCCTTTCTTTCACACAATGCTCCATCACAGTCCCCAGCGCACAAGTGCAAGTACATACAAGCAAGAGAGCAACACAACAGCAACCACCACAGACGTGCACATGACACACGCACACACATACATGCACACACACACACACATACACACACACACACACACACACCAACAAACTCTTGCCCACCATCACAGACAGTTCCCATCAGACGTTGAACTGCACGCGATTGCGTCCTCTGTGCACGCGCGACCGATGACGACGGTTTCTGCACACAAACACACACACACATATGTGCATGAGTACAAGGTGACATTGCGTGCGGCACACAAGCGCGAGAAGCACGAGAAAAAACCCAGATGGCGTGGACACAACCAGCACAAATACAGCAGCCGGCACACCTCGTAGCTTTGTCGATGAAGCTCTGCTGCTTCTCGACAATCCCGCGCCACGCAGGCGACGTCTCCAACAGTGCTGTCACAGCATTGCGCTGCTCCCGCGAGCACATGCCCAGGATTCGATCGAGCGCCTTTGAAGGGAAACAGGTGGCGTGATTGCATAGCAGGTGTGACGTTAGAAGGAGTCTGGATGTTCAACTCAAAGATGCGCACATGGGTGCGCATGGCTGCGCATGCACGCACGCAGACAACAAACATAAGCACACACATAAGCACACACAAGCGCGCGTACACACACACATAAGCACACACAAGCACATGTTCATTGACGGGTTTCTGCCACTCGACCAACCTGGTGCACGCAGAGCGGGAGGGGAAGACCAACAGCATCAAGGACGTTCAGCTGCGCCACAACCTCAAACGCAGTCCTGGCATTGGGTCAAAAGCGGCAACAAACCATCAGGCTTCTTGAGATGATGAATGATACAAGGAAAGCAAATCGCAAGCCACACACACACACACACAGACACAGAAACAAAGTCACACACACACAGAGACACACACAGGCACACACACAGGCACACACACACACACGACACAGGCACACACACACAAGCACACACGACACAGGCACACACACACAGGCACACACGACACAGACAGCCACACAAACCTCTGCGGCCGCTGCTCTGCGAGTTGCGGGATGAGACGCAGCAGGATGGCCACGCGAATGCGCGCCCACTCGTGCGCGTGTGTGTCGTAGCGCCGCATCACCACTTCCCGCATTCCCGGATGCCGGAACCGCGGGCACAGCCCGTCCGTCAACACAAGGTGGCGGCACTCAAACGCAGCCAGGTTGTACCAAAACGCAGAGGGCATGTCCGCTGCGGCCGGCATCAGCCGCTGAAGGTCAAGCACAGTCAGATTGCCTTCGCTGGCAGCAACAAACTGGAGGTACAAGCGCACGGGGTGGTAGTCCTCAAGATGGTCGAAGATGGCGCTGTCATCGTCAGCGGTGAAATCCTCCAGTGTTCCACGCTGCCCGACACCAGCTGCATCCGTCCGGGTGGTGCTCGCATCCCCACCTCCGTTACCCGTGCCACCCCCCTCACCCTCACCGTCATCACCATCATCGCCACCACCCTCCCCATCCCCTTCCTCCTCGTCCTCCTCGTCCTCCTCGTCCTCCTCGTCCTCCTCGTCCTCCTCGTCCTCCTCGTCCTCCTCGCGTGTGCCGTCAAGGCGATCAAGGATACACGTCAGCACTTCATCACAGAACTGCTCACAGTCCATGGTTACGCCTCCACTGCCGCCACAAGCGTCACCAGCGTCACTGCCATCATCGTTACCACCACCATCATCAGCGGCACCACCGTCGCTTGCCTGCCGCAGCACGTTCAGGACGTGGCCGTCTGTGGAGAAGGCGAGGGCCTCGTTGGCCACCAGCACAGCAAGGTACGGTGCTTCCGTCTGGCGACACAGCGCCTGCAGCCGTCTCACATCATCCTCGCTCAGGGCTCCACGCTGCACCACCGCATTCTGCCGCGCCAATGCAGACACAAATGCCAACCAGCCAATTGATGTCGATGACGCTGACGGCGACGTTGTTGATGAAGACGAGGCCGACGTGGCAGGCGTGGTGCTCGTGGTGGAGGCGGTGGTGGACGGTAGTGATGGTGCTGGCTGCGGGACGGGTGCGATTGCTGATGGGCCCACAACGTCCCACACGCTGGTCTGTGAGCTTGCAGGCATCGCCGTAGCCTCACCATCCCCATTACCATCATCGTCACCGGCTGCAGCCGTGTAGCAGTGCGCCACGCGCACCGGGTGCCAGTTGTACTCGCCAGCCCGTGCCCTGGCCTGCTTGGTCGCTGACGTGATTGCATGCGTGAGTTGCGCAGGGTCTTCTTGCTTCACAGGGGTTCGCGACGTCACAATAAACACCACATTGTCTGGCACCGCTGGCGGAATGACGTCATCCTGGCAACAGCGTTGGTGATCATGGTCATGGTTGGGTGATGGCGATCGGGTGTGTTTGAAGGTGAGTGGAAGCAGGCTGCCTGCTGTGTGTGTGTGTATGTGTGTGTGTGTGTGTGCGTGTGTGCGTGCGTGTGTGTGTGCATGTGTGTGCGTGTGTGTATTGTATGCGTGTTCGCCTTGTGTGCGTGTGTGTGCGTTGTGCGCCAGTCTTCACGTTGGTGGAGTCTTTCGTTACAACAGTGACTGCGTGCATGCACAGGCAAAGAGCAACCGTGGTCAGTGCTTACCAGCGTGGCATCTTCGCCGAGTGCATGAAAGTCGTCGATAATGACAAACACGGGGTCCTGTCATGTGTGGCGCGGAGATGATTGAGTGTCCAAAACGGAAACGAAAGGAAGGCACAGCGGGGCACGCGACAGCACGCAGGCACCCACCCACACACACACACACACACACACACCCACACCCACACCCCCACCCCCACGCACACCCACACACACACAACCTTGGCGTCGTGAGCTGCAGCGGTGAGGGCCTCTGTGAGCGCCGTTGTCCGTGCCACAGCGAGGTTTGAGGGGATGGTACGGGAACCAGCACGAAGCGGCTCAAGGGCCCGCGGTGACACATATCCACGACGCAGCGTCTCCAGAGACTCAACCTCGACTGGTGGGGACGGCACGGGGGTGTGAGGACAATTACACAAGGGATTGCAGGGTACAAGTCTTCACACGTGCGCACACGCACGCAAGAGGCACAACGTTCGCAAGACACGCACAACACACATCGTAACGAATACCCACACCCACACCCACACCCACACCCACACCCACACCCACCCACACACCCACCCACACACCCACCCACACACACCCATACACACACATACACACACACACCCACAGTCCACGCACCGAATTCCTCGTGATTCTCGTCCAGGAGCTCAAGAATGTCGTGTGGGCGGATGCGCATGGCATACTTGCCGGCGCGGCTGGCGTGGGTGATGGCAACATCGACGGTGCTCAGACGAAGTGGCGAGCCGCGTGCAAGCGAGCCATCCACGTGGGCAGGCAGCGTCGAGCACGACCGCAGGCGCGCTGGCGACGTTGACTGCGGCGGTGGCGGCGAGATGAGCCGGGAGTGCAGCTCGTGTGGGTGAGGGGCACTCAACCCTTGCCCTGTGGACACACCACCCCGAGTGGCGCCTGACGTGTCATCACCGTCTTCATTGCCATCGCCATCACCACGGTCTTCATCACTCCACGTCACCCCGCGCTTCTGCCGGCGCGTTCGAGTTGCTTTCATCTCATCACCGCTCGCCGCCTCCGCCTGTGCAGCGGGGGCGCACAGCACGCCTGTCGCCGGAAGCGGTGGCCGTGATGATGATGGTGATGAAAGTGATGAGAACGATGACGACGATGCTGCCTCCTGTGTCCCTCCCATCGATGACAGTGATGGCGGTGGTCGCGGTGGGGATGATGATGATGATGATGGTGGGTGATCGACAACGACGGTTGGGAGCGGCGGGGGTGCGCTCGAATCATCACCGCGTCCACGCGTCCGGCCCCTGCGCCGCCTGCCATCCACAGACGATGACGACGATGTTGGCACTGTTGTTGCTGTTGCTGTTGCTGTTACTGTTGTTGTGGTGGTGGCTGTGGTTGTGGTTGTGGTGGTTGGTGCTGCAGCGTGCGGTGTGCTGCTTGCATGCGCGGGTGCATGGTCACCGCCCTGGCTTTCGTCGTCATCAGCATCAACCGCCATGGCCGTTGCAACGTCAAAGCTTGGCGCTGGTGGGCCTGCTGCTGTTGCTGTTGGTGGTGGTGAACGTGAGGTGGCGGCGGTGGGCGTGGAAGCAGAAGTCGTGGTCAGCTGCGGTGGAGGCGGAGGTCCCGCATTGCCGCCACGACCACGCTGTCGCTGCCGCCGCACAGCGCCACCACTGCTGTGCTCATCATCGGTCTTTGCTTGCTTTCTCGGACGTCGCCCGTCCCTGTCGTCGTTCAAGCGTGCACAGTGACCGTTGTCACCATCACCACCACCGCCACCGCCATCGTCGGCGTGGCTGCTCTTGAAGCGGCCACTCTGCCCCTCAGGTGTCAACACGTCACGACGACCACCACCATCACCAGCACTCGTACGGTCGTCACCATCGTCACGCCCGCCAACAGCGTCGCTAGCGTCACCATCACTGGTGCCGGGTGCAACTTCGCCCCTGTCCATGGAGCTGAGCATGTCTGCCGCCTCCTCCAGCGCCACAAGTCGTTCACGGCGACACTTGTCAAGGTATGCTGTCGGGATCTCACAGCACATGCTGCGCTTCCACAGCCGTTCTCCCTGCCACCCGCCCTTGAACGCCAGGCAGTCGTGAACGCAAATTGGCCGCGTTGCATTCGGGTTTCGCCGGACGCAGTGTTGTTGTTGTTGCTGCTGCTGCTGCTGCTGCCGCACATCGCTCGGAGCACCGGCACCGATACCAACGCCGGCTCCTGGCTGCTGCTGCTGCTGCTGCTGCTGTTGTTGCTGTTGCTGTTGTGACGCGTCACCGGTTGTAGGTGGAGTGGCGGGGGCAAGGGTCGCCGGCGCCTTCATCTCCGTCAGCTTGCCAACCAGTGAGACGGGGAGGCGGCCAGGCAGCAGTCGCACCTGCTCCCCAGGCTTCAGCTCAAAGCTCTCACACAGATACCGCCCAGCAGTAAACTTGACGTAACATTCTGGGGCAATGATGGTGCCGACAGCCCACAGCCCGCACGGCGTACTTGACGCGCGGCGGCGGCGACCACGACCGCGGTACGAGCCAGCACGACTCCCTGGTCGACTCCCAGCCCGCGAGCCAGGGCGGCTGGCGTTGTGGCTGCCGGGGCGACTGCTGCTGCGGCTGCGGACACGGCGCAGCGTTGGCGGTGGACTTGCGCTCAAGCCGGGACTGCTGGCTCGCCGGCCCCGCCTCGACCTGTCATCGCTGTCATCGTCACCATCACCGCCATCACCGCCATCACCACTCGTGCCGTTGCCGCTGCGATCCGCAAGCAGCGCAAGACGAGGCGTGGCCAGCGGGTGTGGCCTGCCTTCATCGTGCTCGCCGTGGTTGGTGGTGGCAATGGTGGCGGCGCTGCCAGTGAGGAGGTGAGGCAGCGGCGGCGGTGCGTCTGGATTGGTGTTCTTGCGCCGACGCGTCCGCCCGCGCGTTCTGTGTGACAACGATGTTGGTGCCTGTTCTGCAGTTGCTGCTGCTGCTGCTGTTGTTGAGGCGGTTGGTGACATGGCGTTTGAAGGCACGCTCTTGCCGCTCTGCCACTGGCGGCGGTGGGTGTCACTGCCACCGATGTCGCCATCATCGCTGTGTTCACGCGCTGCGGGGATTCGTCCAGCGCTCCGGCCTGTGCTCGCCCGCGCGTGTCCTGGTGACAGGTCGCTAGCAGAGTGGCCGTGGCCAGGGGTACGAACATCGTGTGCGTGCGGTTGGTGTGGTTGCGACGGCGATAGCGCCTGTGACTGGGACTGCGTGTGCGACATGTGGTGTGCGTGCGAGGTCGTGCTAGCGCTGGCGCTGTCAGCGCCCAGCTGCGACGACGACAGGCGATGCGTAGACGGGGAGCGACTGAGGTATTCTGTGGACATGCTGGGCACGTTGAACATGGGGGCAACGTGGTCGCCGTCAAACACGCTGCGGCTGCGCGGGCGAGCAGGGAGCAGCCGCACGCCGAGCTGGTTCGAGGTGCCGCCACTTGACCTGCCCTTGCGTTGCTCACCGCCTCGGGTCATCGCACCAGCAGCATCCGTGGCCGCATTCGCCGTCCCTCCTATTGTTGTTGCTGTTGTTGTTGTTTTTGACGTCGGACGTGGCGGAGAGTTGCCAGGCGACGACGCTGCAGTTGTCCCCGGTGTTGTCGCTGTTGATGACATTGCTGTTGTGCTCGGTACAACGCGCGTGCCCAGGTCGATGCCGGGGGCGGCGCGTGGTGACAGCGACAGCCGCATGTGCGCACCTCGGGCCGTGCTGCCGGAATTGCGTGCTGTGGCCATGGTGCGGAGGGAGGACCCAACGGCCGGCGGGGCATGCGCAACGCCCCCATACGTGTTGGAGCGCGGACGCCGCTTCCGACGTCGCCCGGAATTGGACACCGTACGGGACGGCCCGTTGTTTGCCGCATATCCATCATCAGCATCATCATCATCACCATCGCCACCATCACCACCACGGTTACTGTCTTCGGTGCTGCTGCCCATTGAAGAGAAGGGGCTGGCATGGTCTGCGTTGGTATGCGTTGCCGCCTGCGCCGATGGTGATGGTGATGGCGGTGGTGAGGACTGTGACAGCGACGATGGAAGCACGATGGCTGGTGGCTGCTGCGACATGGCTGCTTCCTCTGCTGTCATTGCCACCGCCTCCTTCAGCGGTGCCAGCGAGCCTTCACGCGAGGCTGCGTGGCGACCACTGCTCATCGATCGATGATGATGATGATGATGATGATGATGATGATGCGGCTGCTGCTGCTGTTGTTGATGGAATGGGGTGTGCAGAGGGCGCGGCTGCTGCTGTTGGCGCTCGAGTGCGTTGCCGAGCGTTTGAGTGGTTGCTGTTCGTGTGTCTGTGCCATCTGCGGTATTGCTCGCGGTCGACGCATCATCAAAGCTGCGGCGCTCGGGAAGTTTTCTGTGTGGCCGCCGCTGCTGCTGCTGCTGCTGCTGCTGTTGTTGTTGAGCATCGTCTCCGGGCGGCTGGCCCATGGTGGCTTCAAAGGAGGGCAGGTGTGGCCGTGCCGTCAAGCTCTTGGCTCGGGATTTCGGGCCCAACAATGACGCCTCCTTCGCTTCACCACCACGAACAACACCATTACCACCACCACCGCCGCCGCCGCCGCCGCCGCTGTTGTCGTCGTCCCCATTCTGCCACGTGCCTGCACGTGTGTCTGTGGAGAGCTGGTCCTCTGTGAAGTGTCTGAACACATGTACAGGGTGCATGCCAGGAAACACCCCAAACCGCTTGGAGCGGAGCGACTTGACGACATAGGCCGGCACGTTGTGTTTGAGCGCGCGCACGTTGACCAAATCGCCAGCACGGAGCTTGCAGGCAAGCGTTGTCTCTTCGGTCTCGCACTGGTAGTCGCAAACCAGCTTGAACGTGTTCCCTTCCACCCGCTTCAGGTACCTGTTGGGTGGTTTGTGTGTGTGTGTGTGTGTTGTGTGTATGTGTGTGTGCGTGCCCTGTTGGGTGGTTTGTGTGTGTGTGTGTGTGTGTTGTGTGTGTTGTGTGAGGACATTCAGTGCGCATGCTTCGGTGGACAACGAACAAATGTTGAGCAAAACAAAGTTGGCGACGCGCTAACCCAACACACACACATACACATGCTGCTGATCTCACTGGAATGGGATGTAGATTGGGCGGCGGAAGCAAAAGTTGCGGTGGGCCGAGGATGAGCCGCGGGTGCGATACGTTGATGATGATGATGATGATGACGACGACGATGATGATGCATGTTTTGCTGTGGCTGACGTTGCATTGCCCCTCGCTTTTGCCTTTGACGATGATGTGACGACGGCGGGGAAGCGGATCTGTGCGTATGTCATGTAGAAGCGCGTGCACACCTCCAAGTGCTCGCCTTTGCTGAACACATGCTGCGAATAAACATGCTGTAACACCACACAAACACACACACATGCACATGTATACAGGCGAAATTGGCAAACTCGTGAGCTGGTGTGTGTGTGTATGATATCACACGTGCTTGACACCCACGACCACGACCACGACCACGACCACGACCACGACCACCACCAATCACCACGACCACGACCACGACCACGACCACGACCACGACCACGACCACGACCACGACGACCACCACCAATCACCACCAATCACCACCAATCACCACTACTACTACTCCTACAATCACCACCGTCGCCAACGTCATCATCACTAGCCGTTGCTGACGTACAAAGGCCTGGTGTCGGGCTGTGCCGACGGATGCGGCGAGGTCAGCGGTGCGGTCGCGCAGCCCAAGTTGCGTGCAGATGCTTGACACGACGTCGTGCGCACGCTTCGACGTGCTCGTCGCAGCGCACATGTGCCTGTCCGCCATTTGCAGCGCAGGTGTGTGTGCGTGTGAGTTGTGTTTGGTGTCGAAGGGCTACGATGAGAAAATAATGTTCCAACGATACTTGGTTGGCGTATACGAACGAACACAGACGCACATGCCACACACATACACACGCACACATACACACACAGGCACACAAGCAGACAGGGCTTACGTGACGAGGTTGGCGTTTGGGTAGCGCTGAAGAAGGTTGAGGGCAATCTGGGCCACATGGAGGGATTTTCCGCCACCAAAAGGTCCATGAACATTCACCACGCGGGCGCCGCTGTCAATGGACTTCAAGAGTTCAGTCTCGCAAATGGTCGACTTTGGGCGAAGCGGACTTTCACCTCTGGCAGGACCCCACCACGACCACGACCACGACCACGACCACGACCACGACCACCACCAATCACCACGACCACGACCACGACCACGACCACGACCACGACCACGACCACGACCACGACGACCACCACCAATCACCACCAATCACCACCAATCACCACTACTACTACTCCTACAATCACCACCGTCGCCAACGTCATCATCACTAGCCGTTGCTGACGTACAAAGGCCTGGTGTCGGGCTGTGCCGACGGATGCGGCGAGGTCAGCGGTGCGGTCGCGCAGCCCAAGTTGCGTGCAGATGCTTGACACGACGTCGTGCGCACGCTTCGACGTGCTCGTCGCAGCGCACATGTGCCTGTCCGCCATTTGCAGCGCAGGTGTGTGTGCGTGTGAGTTGTGTTTGGTGTCGAAGGGCTACGATGAGAAAATAATGTTCCAACGATACTTGGTTGGCGTATACGAACGAACACAGACGCACATGCCACACACATACACACGCACACATACACACACAGGCACACAAGCAGACAGGGCTTACGTGACGAGGTTGGCGTTTGGGTAGCGCTGAAGAAGGTTGAGGGCAATCTGGGCCACATGGAGGGATTTTCCGCCACCAAAAGGTCCATGAACATTCACCACGCGGGCGCCGCTGTCAATGGACTTCAAGAGTTCAGTCTCGCAAATGGTCGACTTTGGGCGAAGCGGCTGTGACGACAGACCGGCCGTGATCATCCTGCATATGGCGTGTGTTAGGATTACATGAAGGAACACCACAAAGCAAGAAGGTCAACAAAAGCACCGCAGCAAGCAAAATACACACACACACACACTCCCTCCGTCTGTCTCGTGTACTCTCTCACTCACAACACACAACACAACACAACACACAACACAACACAACACAACACAGCACAACACAACACAACACACAACACAACACATCCCTCCTTCGCACACACACACCTGTGAAAGCTGTATGGGTGCGTTGGCAGCGTGTATTTGGCCAGCATGGTTGCGGCCAAGGATTCGAGCACACGTGTAAGATGCAGCAGCAGCGCTTGTGACGGCGTTGCAAACGAGGCTGCTGTAGCAGTCGTCGCAAAGACGTCACTTCTGTCACTTGCATGTGGTGATGATGGTGATGGCGATGCGGGCGGCGTGACCTCCTCAAGCCAGCAGCACGGCGACGACGACGACGATGACGACGACGACGACGACGACGACGACGACGATGATGTGGATGTGGACGATGTGGATGACGATATGGACAAAGGTGCTGGTGTTGGTATTGGCTTCGCTGTTGCACAGGCGTCGCGAATCTGCTTGATCAGCTGCGAGTAGGCTGAAGAGGCACTGCTACCGTTGTTGCTGCTGGTGTTGTTGTTGTTACTGCTGGTGTTGCTACCGCTGTACCCGCGGCCACCGCTGCCGTCAGAGCTGCCAGGTGGCAGGGCAACAACCACCAGCGGCGTGCCAACCTGAAACAACAGCAACCCGTGTGTGCGATGTGCATGACGTGTGTCATGAGTGAGGTGCATGTGAGGGGAGGGGGACGAAAGGGGCAAATGTCTAACGCAACATCCGCACATGGTGAACGCATGCAGCTGCCGAGAAGCATCGCGTTCATAATAACCACAGTAATACCACCACACACGTCGACAAACGCACACGCACACGCACACGCACACGCACACGCACGCACGCACGTCGATGGTGTACAGGAGGTATTCCTCGGCATATGTGCGGTGCCGTGGGTTGAGATTTGGCATGGCAGCGCGGATATCAAGCAGCTCGCCTTGGATATCGGGAATGCTCGCTCTACCGTGTTGTAGTGAGAGCGCGTGTGTGAGAGGGTGCAAGCGTGTGCAAGCGTGTGCATGTGTGTGTGTGTGTGCGTGTGTGCTGTTTAAGGGTGAGCAGGTGGTGACATGATGACAAGCAGGCCCTTGCAGTGAACAAGTCCGCGTACAGCTGTGCTTCGATGTCCTTTTGAGACACAAATGCCACGATGAGATCATGCCTATGTTGCACAACAATGCACATCACACGACATGGTGGTGAGCACAAGAGGCCATCGACATGGTGGCTGACGTGCACGCTGCGCGCTGCAGGCAAAACGAAGCACAGATAGACAGGGAAACACACACACACACACACTCACTCTCTCACTCACACACTCACTCACACACACATTGACGGATAAATACAGGCAGATACAAACGCACCTACGTGCACACACACCCGTCACGCACGCACGCATATACACACACGCACAAAGACAGGCACACACACACAATCAAGAACAGCACGCGCACATTCAGGTTACCGCTTGATGAGGTCAAATGTGAGGAAGAGCGGGAGATCATCAGCTGGGAGCTGCGCCTCCCAGTCGTCGAGATGCAGCAGTTCCAGGGCACCCATGTTGACCAGATCGGCCTCCAGGCGCCTGAGATGTGACTCGATTGCGGCTTGCACTGGCTTGTGGCGCTCGTCCACAGAGGGCCGGATACACACCCGAATTGCGGCCGCCATCTTGCCTGTTGGCGTGCTGCTGGCGTGCTATTGGGGGGCGCTGGTGCTTCACTTGCCGCCGTCGACGCTTCCAGGCGCCGAATGGGTGCTGTCAAACACCCTGGGCAGGCTCGCTGGTGCTGTAGTTTTGTGTGTGCGCGCGTGTGCGCGTGTGTATATATCTATTTGCGCGTGCTCGCTGTGGTACGGGGTTGGTCCAGCGCAATGTGAGCTGCACAGGTTGTGTTGTTGCTGCTGCAATGTAGTGGCTTGCTTGCTTCGTTGTTGTCTTGCTTGTGTGTTGCTTGCGGTGGGCTCCGTGTGCTTGTTCTGCTGCTTGAGGCTGTTGCGTTTGCTGCTGCGCTTGCTGCGTCCGCTGCTGTTGTTGCCTGTCTCCTTCCCTCCTTCCTCACACCTTCACCTACTCCTTCCCCTCGCCTTCACCTTCTCTCTCCTTTGCAGTGGTTCTTCTTCTTGTTCTTCTTCCCCTACTCTTTGTCTCCAGCCCTACCCGCAAACACTTGCACGAGCGCCCGAGCCTCACCCGAGCTGCTCCGTGCCAGCAGTCACCAGTCCCTCAAGGCACACCCGACCAGGCCGAGCCTTGCAATGCACGTGGGACCTGCTCTTTGTCGTACCGCGGTACGAGGAGCGTGATGTGTGATGAAAAGTCGTGCCTGTGTGCTGCTTCACTTCTGTTTTGCTTTTCTTGTTGTCTTGAGCTTTGTTCTTTCTGCTCTTCACTCCTGCTGGTGCTGGTGCTGCCGCTGTTGATGCTGTTGATGCTATTTGATATGATGATGATGCTTCCGCTTGATTTCCCGCACGCACAACAGCCAGGTTGCTAGCCCGCCAGCCCACCGCACACGCACGCTGTCTGAATAACTGATGATGATGATGATGATGATGATGATGATGATGACGATGTGCAGGCGGCTCTGCTGCAATCCCCCACCAATCAATCAAAAAGGTCCGGCCTGCCAACCAACCAATCCAAATCCCACAATCCAACCCCAAAATCGCTTCTTGCTTTTGTTCTTGCTTGCTTGCTTGCTGCTTCGACTTGTTGCTTGCTAAACGCCACCACACTTCGCTGCCCAAAAGGACAAAATTTACCTTCAAGGCATCAAAAAGCAAATTTGCCTTTCAAAGTCGTCGTTACCTGCTACGCTTTGTGGTGTTGCATTACTTTCCCCGCTGCGGCGCACATTGTGCGCATGACCAATCAAGTTGATGGTGAAGACATTCGCCAAATTTAGTCGCACCACATCAAAAAAGCGACCTGAGACAGTTTGCAATGCCAACCACCAAACCTCAACAGGCGTGATAGATCACCTGACACACCACACCACCCGCCACGCTGGTTTTTTTGTTGTGGCTCAAAAAGCATCCATCGCTCAGCTGCTGCCACCACCGCTGCTGTTGTGCCCGTGCGTGGGTGATTTGTTGGACCATTCTTCTTCTCACCCTCCCAACAACACCCTCCCAACAACACCCTTCCTTACCCATTCATCCATCCATCCATCCAACCTGACCCCATCCCCACCTTCACACACAAGGAAAAGCAAAGCAATGGCAGCCCTGTTCGTTCGTTCTGCGCTCTGCGCCCAGCGCCAGCAGGCACACCTGCCTGTGGTTGCGCGCCTGCTCACCTCCACCACGGCTGCGCGCCGCGCCACCAAGACACCAAAGGGCTCGTCCGCGGCCCCGCTCGCCGCCAGTGCCACCACCAACACCGCCCGCATGCACCTGCCATCCTTCTCCAACGAGGAGCTGGCCGAGATGGTGGAGAACCGCAAGGTCTCCGTGCACAAGCTGGAGACGCTGCTGGAGGACACGCAGCGCGCCGTCGACGTGCGCCGCATGGTCACCCAGCGCGCCCTCGCCAAGGACGGCAACATCAAGAACGCAGACACGGCCATGGACGACCTCCCGCACGGCGAGTTTGACTACCGCGGCTTCTACGACAGCATCCACGGCACCAACTGCGAGGCCGTCATCGGCTACATGCCGGTCCCCGTCGGCGTCGTCGGGCCCCTCGTCGTCAACGGCCAGACCTTCCGCGTGCCCATGGCCACCACGGAGGGCGCCCTCCTCGCCTCCACCAACCGCGGCTGCCGCGCCATCACCATGTCCGACGGCGCCACCTCGGTCATCCTGAAGAACGGCATGACCCGCGCCCCGCTCGTCCGCGTGCCCTCTGTCGCCTACGCCGCGGAGATGAAGGCCTGGATCGAGTCACCGGAGAACAAGCAGGCCCTCACCAACGCCTTCAACTCCACCACCCGCTTTGGCCGTCTGCAGGACATTGACGTCCGCATTGCCGGCCGCAACGTCTACGTCCGCTTTGCCTGCCACTGTGGCGACGCCATGGGCATGAACATGGTCACCAAGGGCACCGTCGAGGCCCTCGCCCTCCTCAACGAGCACTTCCCCGAGGCGCAGATGATCGCCCTCTCCGGCAACGTCTGCTCCGACAAGAAGGCCGCTGCCATCAACTGGGTGGAGGGCCGCGGCCGCTCCGTCGTCTGCGAGACCATCCTCAAGAAGAACGTTGTCGAGAACCTTCTCCACACGACCGTCGACGACATGATCTTTGTCAACCAGAACAAGAACCTCATTGGCTCTGCCGTTGCGGGCTCCCTCGGCGGCTTCAACGCCCACGCCGCCAACATTGTCGCCGCCCTCTTCATCGCCACGGGCAACGACCCGGCCCAGGTGATTGAGAGCTCCCAGTGCATCACCGTCCTGGAGAAGGAAGGCGAGGACCTGCACATGTCCGTCTCCATGCCCTCAATTGAGATTGGCACCGTCGGTGGCGGCACCTCCCTCCCCGCACAGGCCGCCGCCCTGAAGATGCTCGGCTGCCAGGGTGCCAACCGCGAGGCCACCGGCGCCAACGCCGACACGCTGGCCCACGTTGTGGCCAGCTCCGTCCTTGCCGGCGAGATTTCCCTCATTGCCGCCCTGGCCACCAACGACCTCCTCAAGGCCCACATTGACCTCAACCGCAAGACCTCCTCCCCAGCCGAACAGGCGCAGGAGGCCGTCGCCAGCAACACATCCTCCGCCGCTGCAACCGGCCACCCCAGCGCCACGACCACCCGCGGCATGCACACGAGCAGCGTTGTGGGGCACGCCATCACTTTCGGGCACCCCTCCACGGGCGGCCCCCTCAACGCCCGCGCCGCGTCAAGCAGTGCTGAGCAGGCCATCTACTACGCGCCAGGCACTCGCCTCTCCACCTTTGCTGCCTCTGGCCCCGCCCTTCCCCACTCTGTTTCCTCATCCGCCGCGTCTGCGGACGAGTACGGCTCCGACGGCCCCATGCTCCCCGTCCCCTGAGCACAGCTCCGGCAGCTCCTCGTCAACATGACTACTAGCTCTAGCGCAGCAGCCAACGAACAACATCGATAACAACTTCTACACCTGTATGGCTACAAAGGCGTGGGCGTTCGTTCCATCACGGCACCACGTTTGCTGCCCCCCCCCCTTTTGCCTTGTGTCTCTCACACACTCTCCCTTTCCCTCTTTTTTCGCTGTGTTTCACCTCGTCCCTTTTCTTGTTT